CAGAATACCTACTAAGTGTTTGGTGGTGGTCACATATTATATTCACGTCATTACTATGCCATTCTGTACACTAAAATTATATTTAGCCTTTATAGGGTGATTAACCAAACATGATCATCCCATATTTTCTTTAATGGGTAATGTATTTATTACAATTTTGATTTTTTTAAATATATTCATATACTTAAGATTGATTATTAACCGTACGATTTAACACTATATTTTAAATTATTTAGATTTTTATATACCGTTTGAGGGGTGCTTTTTAATGATACAAACTTATTTTTTAAATGAAAAACATCCTTTGTTCCTATAAATTTGTAACCAGATAATTTTATATAAATTGTTGATGTATCTAATTCAAAACTCTAACTCATTGTATGTTTTGAGATAATTAACATTATCTACAAAGAATAATATAGATTTAAAAAAATATGTAAAGTCTAATGATTTGAACATTATAGACATCAGACATGTAAGCATGTTATGCTTTATTTTAAAATTGTTTTTTAAAATGTGATTTTTTTTTTTAACAGGAATAATTTTTGTGTTGTGAAATATTTGAAATATTAATGCATCTAAACCGAAATTATCCTTTAACATATTTTTTTAAATATAAAATAGAAAGATCATATTAATTTCAGCATTAATTATACCTAGACAATTTTTAAAAGTTATATAATTTTGTTAGATAAATATTATTTATTATACTACATTTTCAAAATAATGTAGTCCCCGTATATTTTTCTTAATTTATTTATATGAACCTATTATTGTTAGTAAATATTGTTAATAACTCAAAGCTGATTATTCAAATTATGATTTACATACATCAAATATTAAAAACAAAAGTTGGTACCTATCACTATTTGACATTCATTAAATGGTATAAATATTGCATATATTTGAATATGTGAATCTAAAGTATACTTACAAATTTCAAAAATCAAAATTTTAATAAATAAATAGTCAAAGAAAAAAGCCGGGTAAAGCGTGTTTGATAAATCACCCTATAACTATTATACACTGTTCAGTGGAAGTTGGGTTCATTCATTTTTGGCCATTTTGTATTTGTTTGTTATATTTCATAATAGCCGTTCGTTCCTTGTGTCAGTGTGCAAAAGTTTTCCGGTAACCGTTCATTGAAGCTATGCACGTTTTACGTAAAAAAGACTATTATACATTATTATTAATAATAATATAACGAAACAAAAGTCACAGGACGGTCTTTTTGTCCCGTTGTCCTCATTATTTATTTATATTATTGGGTACTGTCTCTATGTTACGTATTTTATCTATTCGAGTTTTATGCCAGTTTGGCTTTCTCGGCCAATGAATTAATTTTTAGTACATATAATTTTAGTCTATCCGTTATAATTTGTGTTGAGGTCTTTTATTTTTTTTTATTTTTATTATTAATGTTTATTCTATTATTTCAAAAATATGAATTCTAATTTTTTAAAATATACCCATCATGTCAAATTCAATGAGAACTTCTTAATGTTACAAACCTCTATCGCTTTTTGTAACCAAGTAGCTGTCGATATGTATACTTGATTTTATTCAGTTAAGTAGTGTTTGGTTAGCTATATGAAAGATTTAAGAGCCGGATTTTGAACCGATCAGTCAATCTACATAAACTTTTCTATACTATATTTTACAAGTCTTAGAAACTTATATGGGTGTCCCATTAACAGATGTTGATGCTAGATATCTATAACTATGACTACACCGCAGAGTGCCACCCGATGAACGTATATATATATTTTAAACACTTAATTTATAAAATATTATTATTGTGTACATACGCACTATGTACTATGTAACGGCAATACAATATTATGAAAAAAATAATATATTTATAAGACAATTGTTTTGAATGCCTTTTTTGCGCGGTATATTATATACTCGGTTTACCACCGTTTTCTATTTAAAAAACCACCGACATGTATTTTTTTTACTCAGCAAAAGAGTTGTAGTATTCTCCGGTCACTGCGCCTATTTGCTTGCGCATTGGGTGCAAACGGTTGGTATTATAAGGTCGTAGACTGTCACACACATTATATAACTACTACGACAAGGACGAAAAGTGTGTACTTTAGCATATATTTTCTAAGTCTCGTTATTTAATATAAATATCGTTAAATATTATTATGAACTTAAAATGTATTTCCATCGTATATTTCATGATTATAAAAACGGACATAACACAATATTATTGCTGCAATAAAAATCCTATTTATAGTATTTTATATTATATTTTAACTCTGTGTATAACCGTCCGTGAAATTGCATATGTATATGTGATCATTTTTGTGTATTTATATATATGTGGGTGTGTGTGTGTAAAAATTAATTTTAATTAGTTTTTATATCATAAAAATACTAACACACAATTTATCATGGTATCCTTGGATGCTTTACTAAAAATTTTAACTCATGTTTTCAAACATCTCTGACCTCATAAACCACTCACGCTAGACTCAATTATTTGGTAATAGGGTTGTTGTTATAGTTGTGGTTGTTTTTAAAGCATTTGACCAATTCAATTATTTTTCTTTCAAAAAATGATTATTGGTCTGATTTATGTGAAACAATTTTTAAAATAGTAATAACTTTAATTCCAAAAATCATCTGTAATAAATTACTCTAATAAAAGACTTATCTATTAAAAAAAATATAGTTTCTGAAAAAAAAAAAAACGATAAAATGCCTATTTGCTATCAACCAAACAAAATAGGTTCATGTCAGTTTTTCAAACTTGCCTACCTAAATAAGTATCTATTATTTCATTGGCAACCGTTAGGTGATAATTATTAGTTGATATACAAATAAATTATTGATATTGTTATATTAACGTTACAGAGTGAAAATATTATTATATGTTATTAAAAACACCAAGTAGATTATAAGTAAATTAACTGACGTATATCAACCACATATCTCAAAGAAAATTGAATGTGAAATCAACAATTAAAAATACTGAAATATATACCTATAGTATTATTATCACAGCGCATTTATCTGAGGTCCGGTCAACAATTTTTATGTATTATGTCGCTGTTAAAAATTCCATTATATAGTATGTATAATATGTATAATATTATGTACTATATGTTTTCCCATAAATAGAAATGTGTTTAGTCGTCCGATCACCGTGATAAATATGTTAATTATACATCATGTAGGTACCACGCGTACAACATTTAAATAAAGTTAATCAATTCAGTGATTTTTTTTTATGCGCGTTCCTGTAGGTAAATGTTTATGTGTCTATTTTAAAAAACGGGTTTCACTAGATTTTCGTATTTTACTACACCCTTAGTGAAGATTCAAATATATGTTACTCGTTTGTATGTTTCCGTTTCCTTCTCCTTTGTATAAGAGTTACGATAGTAATTTGTTTCACACGGCACGGGTGAAAATCGGAATATAGTTTGAATAGTTTATCCTGCCACTCACCTGCCATAATATACCAATAATATAAATAGTCATATTGTGTACATACAAAAAAAAATAATATCTCTTCGTTGTTTTTTTATATTTTCTTTTTTTATGCGAGAATTTATTTTTGACTTTTGAAGTTCTTCTAGTTGACAGTTAAAGTCCTTTCCTGTCAGGACCATCAGTCAATAACTGCAGCCGATTCAGTTCCGTATCAAGATTAATAAAAAAATTTACTGATAACAGCTTGCTATTAAATGTAATTCTTATCAATAGATTGTTTGCTATCGGCCATGTACAATAGCTAGACGCGCCACAATATACCTACCTATTAAAATAATAAAAAAAATAAAATAATATAAATATAAGCGTTTGTTTGTAGTATATTTTTTATTTATTTTTTACTCGTTATTGATATCGTGGTTTTTAAAGTAAAAACTCTACGCAAACAACGTAGATAAATGTCACGAGGTCGTCGAAACTGTATATTTAACAAAATAATAATTGTTGTTTGTTTAACAAAGTAGTGTCTTCGCCTAAGACGTATAAATGTATCACTTGTGACATTTTATAATAGTATATACACGCAGTGGTTAGATAAAATACATATTATTTTTAAATTTGTTTTATTACTTACCTACGTACTTTTTCCTCAAATAATACACAATACACAGCGACATATGTTACGGTCATATTGTCTAGTATATGTACGTATTGTTCTGTTTTACAGACAATTATTTGTTTCTGTGTTGATTTATTCAGTTTGTTCATTACACGTACATATATTACTAATTGACATATCCGTGTGATATATTGCGTTTTTGGAATTTTTTTTCCATGGGTATTATAATATATTTCATATCAAATACACGTTCGCTAATATCACATGTACAGGGTATTGCGCGTATTGTAGTCATAGCCGATGTTTGAATTTTAAATTCACCGTTTTGAATATTATAATTATCTTTTATTTCGTTATTTCGTTATTTCATTATTCCGTGTTTAGTTATTTATGAAAAAACAACAATCACATTTATATAATCCATTCAAACCGTTGAATTTTTAATGATACGATATTATATCTCGCGTTTAAAATTGCATTTCAAATAAATTAATTTTAGAAATTCTTTAGAGAAATAGAAAAAAATGTTACTTCTACGTTATATATATGTCGCATCCATATCGCGTTATTGTACGTTTCGCGAAATGGACAACATTTGCATCCATTTCGCGAAATGAAACCGCGATTTCTCCACTTCACGTAATTACACAATATGGATAATATTTCGTGAAATGGATACCTAAACTATCGTCAACGGAACTTGTTCCTTCATTTGGATGTCCATATAGCAAAACTTAAAAAAAATTTTATTTTTATATATTATATATTTTATTCCTAAAAGTTTAATTAAATTATTAATTTTAAGTAAATGTTTTACAAATATTATAATATTATAATACTTTAATACAAACTATTATTTATTTAGACATGTTTGTGAGTTATGACAACAAGAATTACATTTTAAATTACCTTTAAAACAAGCACATTTTTTAGTTTAACATTTGCCTTTACAATAACAACTAAAAAAACCTTGACCTCCAGTTAAAGAAGAGACAATTTCTCTTAATGACATTTCTTTTGTCTTATTCACTTGCTCGATGTCAATGAAGTTTGATGTGGCTGATTGTATATTTCCAGAACCATACCAACCTTTTAGTACACCATGTTCAGTTCCTATACGGTTAAGGTCATTTTTCTGATCGATCACTACGGAAATAATGTTAGCTGGGTCTGTAGAACCTCTATCTACTTTCGGAACCGGGATTACAATACAGTCTCCAACTTTAAATGTTGGTATTTTGATCTTACTATCCTATAGCATAATGAAATAATGAATTATTTTAAGTAAATATAAAAACCAAAATGATTTTACTTGTAACATTTTTTCGGCTTGCTTTTCTATTTCTATAGCTCCTAAATGACGTGCTTCCTTAATTTTCATATTCTTCTCACATAAATTACATAAAATTGCTTCGGCGGAGTCCGTTTCCATATGACATTCTGTTCCGCAAACATTACATTGAACAGTTAATTTTTCGATCTCACTTTGAATATCTTCTTTGTAGATTTCTTCTAAGTCTTCTTCCGTTACCAATATTTGTAAAATTTCTATTAGTAAACTGGATGTTGCTAATCCAACTTTTGGATCATTCCCAAATAAAGCCTTATACGATGACCTACCAATCACACGATGATGAGAACTATTTTTTTGAAATTGAACAAATTGTAGTCCAATTGACCATTTCTTTGTTTTATTACCTTTCATCCAAGCTCTTAACATATTTTCTATGTCCTGGTTGCTTCTCTCAATACTTCCCTAGCTCTGCGGGTGTCTAGGTCGACCGTGAACAATAACGCAATCTGGCCAAAGTTCTTTCAATTCAATTATAATAGAATTAACAAATTCCCTACCGTTATCGCTCTGCAGTATTTTTGGTGCGCCAAACGTAAGAAAACCGATCAGAAAAATGACCTTAACCGTATAGGAACTGAACATGGTGTACTAAAAGGTTGGTATGGTTCTGGAAATATACAATCAGCCACATCAAACTTCATTGACATCGAGCAAGTGAATAAGACAAAAGAAATGTCATTAAGAGAAATTGTCTCTTCTTTAACTGGAGGTCAAGGTTTTTTTAGTTGTTATTGTAAAGGCAAATGTTAAACTAAAAAATGTGCTTGTTTTAAAGGTAATTTAAAATGTAATTCTTGTTGTCATAACTCACAAACATGTCTAAATAAATAATAGTTTGTATTAAAGTATTATAATATTATAATATTTGTAAAACATTTACTTAAAATTAATAATTTAATTAAACTTTTAGGAATAAAATATATAATATATAAAAATAAAATTTTTTTTAAGTTTTGCTATATGGACATCCAAATGAAGGAACAAGTTCCGTTGACGATAGTTTAGGTATCCATTTCACGAAATATTATCCATATTGTGTAATTACGTGAAGTGGAGAAATCGCGGTTTCATTTCGCGAAATGGATGCAAACGTTGTCCATTTCGCGAAACGTACAATAACGCGATATGGATGCGACATATATATATAATAATTATATATATAAATATATAAATATTTAGTTAATAGCGTTATCTTAAAAATATTATAATCTAGCTAATCATCATAATCACGTGCAAAATTAAATGGTTTATAATCAATTATATCAATAGGTAAAGTATTATTTTTAATACAGTTAAAAAAAAAAAGAGTAATGAAAGTAAATCGCTTAATAATAATATCACATCACATCATTCGCTACAATATAATATGCTGCAGCAGTTAGGTATACAATTAATATAACTGTTGTTTTTGTTTCTAACGATACATTTGTTTCAATTAAATATTTTTGAATGATAAATTCAATGATTTTGAGAATTTCGTCACCTGATCCTTAAAACTCCAAAATTAAAGAAGTTATTCAAATTTCGATTATATCAAATCTATTCTTTTAACAAAAATAAAAAAAATGGGCTTATAAAACTATATTATACAATGAATTTTTAGTTCTTAAATGAAATTTTCTAATTATTATGAATGAAAAAAAAACATTATAATAATAATGTATCCCATATTATGTATAATATATATAATAATTATTTTCACTTTTAAGAAGAATATAACTTCGTAAAAAATATTTCACATAATTCTATAAATACATTTAAAATATTTGTATCTGTATTAAAATTAATTTGTGTCTATTGCATCAAATAATACACTATTCTGATTACTCTTAATATTAGTATACTCTTTGATTTGTATTAAATTGATTTGATTTAATTGATCAATTATAAATATCTAAAAAATAATTTTCTATATAATAATATGTGTTAACTAATAATTGTGCACAACATTAAATTTAGTTTTATCTAACTTAATACAAAAAAAAAAATCAACATTTTGGTTTTTTATATTATTATGGCGATTACGGCGAGTTCACAGGGCTAATAATTTATGTAAATATTTTTAAAAGCTGAGTTATTAATGTACGTAAGTTTAGTATTTGAATATCGTAATGTAAGTTTTAATCTCTATGGAGTACCATGTGCGGTAGGCGGGCGTGGGAATATGCATGATGACAATACATCTTATACTCCTAATATATTATTTGAAAATGTGTCGGCGATGAACTACAGCTCCACAGCTGACGACAGCGTATAAAGTGTATACTATCTTGTATATTTTTAACAAAATAACATTTCCGTACAAACATTTCGAATTGTTCAGACGATAAGGCATCAAATTCAGTTACAGTTGGCCCAATCGGAGAAAAGTTCGAAAAACGTCGATCGTCGGCAGCCAATTTATGTACAGAAATTCCGAATTCAGTAATCAACGTTATTGCGGTGTGTATTTTTATAGTCGTAAGAACGTGGACAGAAAAACTATTAGACTAAAAATTAATTCACAGGGGTCAGACCTTTACAAGTACAACGTAGTACCTGACCAAATACTCTCCGAGACTATAATCTTATAATTTGGATACGATTTTTTTTTTCAATTTCATCGATATCATCTAATTTATAGATCAGTGTTCATATTGAAACTGGCTATAAATATTATATATGCTTGTGATCATCAAAGATAACAAGGCATTGGATTTTAGTAAATATCATTATACAATATTCTAGTGTAAATTAATAAAAGAATATACATTAGATATCAAAAAATACAAAAACGAGTATTAAAATTAATTCAAACAAATTTAAAATATGTCACCTTCGTGTAATTGACTATAGTGATATTGTTAATGTAATGCAATATTGTAGATATTGATTATTTTGTTAAATATATTTATTTGTTTATTTATTTATTTATTTTTTTTTTTTGACAGTCAATGACCATAATTTCTTTTCGCTTGTAAAAAAAAAAAAAAAAATACAAAAATACAAAAATACAAAAATTAATGGAAAAAATATAAATATAACTATGTTTATAATATAACCTACACTTGAAAATATTAAAAAAAAGTATTAAAAAATAAAAACGTAATTTTACTATAACAACAATTATCATTCCTAATAGATAAATGTAAAACATTCTTTGAATAATAATTATGCATAAAAAATTTATGCATTATTTATTTATTATTAGGTAATATTGTTCACAAAAAAATATCTTAATTCGATGAATTCTTTTGTTGATTACATATTATGCTCATTTTTAAAATCAAAAAATTTACGGTTAACTTTCTAATTGAAATTATTAAATGTTTGTTATTGTCTTATCATAAATGCAAATGTTTATTTTATATTTGTAAATATTTTATCGAAAGTGCAGTTAAAAACTTATTTTTATTCTTTGAATTCAATGGTTTCATTGACAGCAATAGGTACCTCCTACTCCTTGAATTGGACCTGGCAAATCTTTACCGGATATTACTTTAGTAAAAGATCATATAACTTTTGTAAGCTAAGGAATGCGCAAATGAGATGCCTCAATGACTGAATGGCTCCTAACATTATGACATTATGTAATTGTGAGTGAAAAAGTTATTCGGAGGCTCGTATTTTATCTGATTTTAAAACTAAATAAAATTCAAATGTGTTTTAAATAATATGTGATAAAATATATTAACAAAACAATTATTATTCCATGCTATTACGTAACGCAACAAAGATAAAATATTATAAAATTTCGTGTATACAACCCATCATATTTTATAGTATAAGTAGGTACCATGAATCAATACTGTATTAAATCATTAATGTTCTAATTAATATTTACATAACAATGAATACATTCAAATGTTGATTTAGATTCAGTAATAAACAAATTCAATAATTTAAGTATTTACTAAGCGAATAGTATTAAACATTTGAATATTGAATTATTAGTATTATAATTAAAATAAAATAATAGGTACACTTATTCATTTGCAATAATTTATTACAAGGAAAGATCCAACTAAAAAAAATAAGCCCATTCTGTTAACACCACCTGAAACTTATGTTTGTGCACTTTTGGTTGAGTATATATTTTTAAAAGGTCCATTTTTCCTAGAACCGTCCATTTAAATTATTGGGTTAAAACCCGGGTCTTTCGTTTATGCTACGTTTGAGCTCTTGTGCTCGATCCTTTCCAAAGTTTTTTGCGTTTTGTCTCTGGTTAGGCTGGGGATATTAAAATACAAACTTTGAATCTGGACACAAGCCACGAAGTAAAACACAAGGTTAAACGCAGAAAACTTTGAAAGAGACTGAGTGAAATGAAGGGACTTATGGCACAAACGGTAGCACCTCCCCCCCCCTTCACCCCAAGTTTTAACCAGGAATTCTAAAAATGCAGTGGTCCTCTTAAAATATTATTACTTTGCTGTAGTAGCAGTGCACGCACAATAAGGCATTTTCTACATTGGCATTGCGTTGGAAAACCTATATCCATAAATACAATTTTACGCGTTGTGGAAATATTATTATAAGTACTAATAGGTGATAATAACAACTACGCGACACGCGTTAGACCGTATTATTATTATTATTATTATTATTGTTACTGTGTGCGTCTACTCCATTAGCCGAACTCGCGCGTACGGTATACCTATATCCGCTGCATTGAAATTAATGTCATTCCACACTTTCAATAAATTTTTGACTTTTTTTTTCCCCGACAGATTTTCCATAACGTATTAATATAATGCGCACAAAGTGTAATTAAGTTAAAAAAACTAACAACCATTTTTCGATACCCGAAAACAACGCGAAAAAGTTTTAAACGTCTGTTCATTATGATATTCATAATGATGGTAATATACGTCATACCTACTCACGTATATACGACATAGAATACTAAGTGATTTACCAAGCATGCTCATTACCATCTCTTCATTTGATTATAAATGTATTCGAATAATTGTGATTTTTGGAATTTTTAAGTCTACTCATATAAAGACCATGTTTTAAATTATTTAGTTTTTTATACTATTTAATGTGTACTTTTTTTTTCGAACAAGAGACAACCTTTTTTCCCCTGTAAATTGTTAATTTGATGAATTTTTTTTTTTTTTTTTTTTTGACGTATATGTATTTATTGAAAATAAGGTACTTCAATATGTTTGAAAATTCCATCAACTAAAATTTTAATAAATTAAAAAAACGAGTGTGAGCATGCGAATTATCCAGTATATTATTTCAAATGTGTACGTTTATAATATTTAATAGGACACCGAAAAGTAAAACATATTAAATAAATGTGTTATACAAAATTTCAGTGGTTAAGTGTTTTTTGTAGTTATGTACTTTTTTTTTTTAAATTAGGTATTGAGCTTTGC